ATATTAAAATAAATAAAAGAGACAGCGTAAAAGTTGAAAGGTGAAGTGGCAAAAATGAAGCTCAGATAAAAGAACGAGAGATGAAGAGAGGAAGGGTTTGTGCGACCAAAACAGGACTCATGCCACTCACCACTGCACCAGGTTTGCCGTCTAACCCATGAGCCCCCTGTATAGTGTTACACAGTTAGAGGGCAGAGAGGATGAAGGGAGTGGGTAGGATTGGGGTTGGGGGTGGGGTGGTGAGATAAGGAGTGGGATTAGATGAGGTGAGCGAAGCTGTGACTGGTAACAGCAACAAATATTCAATGACAAAGAACAAATGGCGATAAAACCACTGAAGGTTAAACCAAACAAGTTGACCATTTTAAGTTTCCCTCTTTCTCTTCTTTCTGTCTGTTGAGCTGAGTGTAGTACTATAAAAAGGCAAACTAAATGTATAAGACGAAACATTTTGAATGGGGTGAGGTCATTTCTTAGAAATGTTTAAATAGATTTTTTCATTCAATTATAAGTTTCACTTTTATTCTTATCTGGTACATTTTCTTTTCAACATTTAAATGGTAAAAAAAATCCAATTAATGCAAACTACAAAAAAGTAAGCTAGTGAAGATTCTCAGTCCTCCAGGTCATAGTCATTCCAAAATAGTTTAAAAAAACAATCCACTGGACTTTGTTTCCAAGTTTGAAGATGTTTCGGCTCCCATCCAGGAATATCATGGAAGAGCAACCCCCTCTGGACAAGACTCTGCTGTCCATCTACACCTTATGGACAAAGGACATTCTTTTGAGGACCAGAATGTTCACATTTTGGACAAAGAAGACAGGAGGATTGAGAGGGGCTTGAAGGAAGCCATCTATGTTAGGAAAGAAAAAACAACCTTAGACATAAGGGATGGACTCAGATTTCAGCTTTCAAAAATCTACAAAGCAGCAATTGAGTTGATTCCTTCCCGCTATCATCGCAACCCCCACCCCTTTACAGGGGAACAGAAGACCCTGCCTATTCAGCCAGGCCAACAATTACCTTTAACAACCCCGCTTTCAGAGACATTGACAGGTATAGGGCATTGCAGGATAACAAAGAAACCAAACTACCCCCATTCCAAAGGGATGGACCCGTTCATCTGTTTCAATTTGCATGTTTTCTAAGCCAAATCAAGGCTTTGTTGGGCTACTTCTGACAATTTGAATTGAAAGAGCTTCCTGGATGGGAAGCAAAACATCTTCAAACTTGGAAACAAAGACCAGTGGATTATTTTTTTTTACTTTTTTGGAATACAAAAATGTAGGCTTTACATTTTCATGACATAACACCTCCAGTGTTATGCTCTGAAGAGACGGATGCTAACTGCTACAGCTGGACACGCCTCATCAACCAATCAGAGAAGCTGATGTGGGAGCTGGCAGGGAGACAGACGCAGCACTGCTGATGCAGAGCGCTACGATCACTCTGCTATGATCACTGAAACAGTTAATTAATGCCTGAATTAACTTAAAATGTTAAAACCTAAACTGTACAAGCATCAAAAATGAAGCAGCACATGCGTTTTTGCTGCTCCTGCTGCTAATTGTCTAAACGTAGCATAAAATTCTCTTCCCATTGAAATAACTAAAACATTAACCTTGGCATCTAAATATGGGAACTTACCCTGATGACCCTGCCAACTTCCTACGGCCAGTGGATAACCAGCTTTCAAAATGACCAAAAGCAGCAGCAGGTTGGCTAATCCTTCAGTCAACCACTCCAACACCACTATTCACTTAGGACTTCTCAACATTAGCTCACTCATAAGTTTGGGACTTCTCAACGATCTCCTGGCAACCACCTAATGACTGCTTTTAGCTCATCAGTTTAACCCAACCTGGCTTTGTTGACATCTCCCAACTGTGTGAGACAGGCCACGCAGGTTGGGTTCTCCGTCTGGTTTCCATCCCAGCTCTAACCTCCATAGAATGTCTCAGGTGTAAAATTCCTGAACATATACCCACTATCAGTGCTGAATTTGACCTCCCCCTTAAACCTAACTGTTACTTTTGAATAGTGTTGCGCAATTGCCATTTTTTGTAAAATAATTGCCATCATGGCTTTGTCAATCTGCTGCCTACCTTTATGAAGCAGGAAAAAGACTAATACAAAGTGAATCCAGTAGAACGATTTATTGACTACCTGGAATGGGTGACTTTTGGCTCTCAAAATGGTATCGGTGCCCTATTTGATGGTACTCACAGATACCAATACCACCATTTTAGAGCATTATCGGAGCCCCGCCCGATACTGGTATCGGTGCAACACTAATTTTAAATAAATTGGCTGATTTGCTGGCTCATCTGTCTTCTTTCTCCCAATATAATATTACTGGGTGAATTCAACAAACATCAGGACAATAGTAATCTTACCCTCACTAGAGACTATTTATCCTACTTGGAAAACATTGGTTTTAATCATCCATCCATGCATCTTCTTCCACTTATCCGGGGTCGGGTCGCGGGGGTAGCAGCTTCAGTAGGGAGGCCCCTACATCCCTCTCCCGAGCCACTTGGGCCAGCTCCTCAGGGGGAACCCCAAGGCGCTCCCAGGCCAGCCGAGAAACAAATTCCCTTCGGCGTGTCCTGGGTTTCCCCCATGGGCCTCCTCCCGCTACGACGTGCCCGGAACACCTCACCGTGGAAATGTCCAGGAGGCATCCTAACCAGATGCCCCAGCCACCTCAGCTGGCTCCTCTCAACATGGAGGAGCAGTGGCTCTACTCTGAGTCATCCCCGGATGACTGAGCTCCTCACCCTATCTCTAAGGGAGAGCCCAGACACACTACGGAGAAAACTCATTTCAGCCACTTGTATCCGGGATCTCAATCGTTCGGTCATGACCCAAAGCTCATGACCATAGATGAGAGTCGGAACATAGATCGAACGGTAAATCGAGAGCTTTGCATTTTGGCTCAGCTCTCTCTTCACCACAACAGACCGGTATAGCGAACGCTTCACAGCTGACGCCGCACCAATCCGCCTATCCAACTCCTGCTCCATCTTCCCCTCATTCATGAACAAGATCCCAAGATACTTAAACTCCTCAATTGACGGATTTCCGTGCACACACAAACGGACAAACTCTTTTCTCTGCTGAGACCTGCTGCTCTGGTCTCAGCACCTCCAGCTGCTCTGATGGTGAACTTAAAAAAACTGATCATTATTCCATTTCATTCAGGATCTTTTTAAGTCTATCAATAACAAAGTCACCTTAACCCATATTGTTTCCTAACAATAAGAATATAAAACAAACACCTTCTCCTCTCACATCCTTAATGATTTCAGATCCTTCTTCTACCCCGGATTAACTGACAGGATATTAGCCATAGCCTTGTCACCTCCCACATCAATTACTGCAACTCTTCTCTTTTTGGTCATCCTCAGAAATCATTCAGCTTTAGTTGCTCCTTCAAATCACCCCATTCTACAGGACCTTCACTGGCTTCCTGAAGCTTTAGAATCCAGTTCAAAATCTTCCTGTTTGCTCAGAAACAAGGTCGTCTGCATTTAACGCAGATATGACCTCGCCCCTTTCCGAAGTCACTCTGGTGCACCTCCCCAAAATTGTAGGTGACAGCAGACAGTGCTGCAGATAATGTCACAGGGAGGAGAGAAAGGAGGCCTCTGATTGGTCAAATCTACATCCGCTCTACACTATGCGCATTTCCTTTTTGGTACCTAATGGCACACCTCGGACACTGTCCCAGACACCGTGCAGAACGCTAGTTTGTAGCTCTATGCGACGGTCTGTTGGTTTGCACCAGAAGCCAAAACAAGCAGCGCCACGGCCAGTCTTTCGGGAACACTCATGGGTGAACAGTGTGTCGTCCGGCGTTGGAAGAGGGGTTGTAGGCGGCGAACAAGCTCGTCTAACCGACACATGGACACCTACAATCCTAGCTAGTTGGTGATTGTTCCCCTTACGTAGTAGCGTGGAATAACATAGCACAGACCACACTTCAAAATTGGGCATAAATCAAAAATATCTGTGTAATACCTGCAACAAGCTAACTGCGACACACTGCTGCAGGAGTATACAAAGCCCTTTAGACCTGCCTCTTCCATCCACATTGTGGCACCTCCTGCCACCTCATCACCATGAGGAGCAGAAATTTCTCCTGCTCTGCTCCCAACCTCTGGAATTCACTCCCTGATATTCAAAACACTTTACTCATCAAAGCTCATCTGTTCCCGATGGCAGACCTCCACTGATTTTAATATAGTGTATATGGTATATTATGGATTCTTTGTTTTAAAGCATGCTTTGATGTCCTGAAAGGTGCTTTAAATAAAATAATTATTTTTATGATGATTACCCTTAAAACTGGAACCATTCTCAGGATACTTAAAGCAACCGTTTTTAGGGCAGGGAGGGCAGCAACCATAATGCCAACAGGATGACAAAAAATCCCTAAATCAAAAGAAAGCTTTCTTAACCAGCAGTCATAAAGTACACACAACAATGAGAAGCATGCAGTAAACAACACCACTCTCCAGAAACACAATATTAAAATACTTAGCTGTTAAAAAGGAAAAAACATTTTTAATAACTTAAAAGATAAACTTACAGGAAGTCCAAGATAGCCTCTGACTCCTTTGTCACCTTTCTGACCCGTCTCTCCCTTCTCTCCCTTGATGCTGATACCTGGGTCTCCCTTGAAAAGATAAAAAACAAAACAAAAAAGTGTAAACAGAGACTGCAATTAATAAGTTATGTAGTACATGATATGCAGAGATGGGAAGTAACGAAGTACAAATACTTTGTTACTGTACTCAAGTAGATTTTTCTGATATTTTTACTTTACTTTACTACTTATTTTTATGGCGACTTTTTACTTCTACTCCTTACATTTTTACAAATTGGCTCGTTACTGTTACTGTTATTATT